TCTGTGATCGTGTATTCTATGTGTGAATTGGTTGGCATTCCCAATGGGAGGCTCAAGGAGTCCACAGGCGGTGGTGCAGAGAGGGCCCCTGCCGTAGTTTCTGGCTTGGCTGAGGTGGTGTCCTCGGAGGTGGAGGATGCTCGCGGGAGGCGCCAGGCTGCTCTGGCCCAGCGTGTGCTCGCCGCGGCCCAGGGCACGCGTGGGGCAAGGCCTCCCTGACAGTCGCCGTGCGTTGCGCCTTCTACTCTCTTTCTCGGTACTAAGCTCGCGTGACAAGTTCGATCTGAGGCTTTTGCTGCGCACGTTGCGGCGGTATTGGTATGCTGCCAGCCCTGGAGCTCGGGCTTTGGAGTTCTTTCGTGCAGGCGTTGCTGGCCGTCCTTTTCACTGCCTCGTGTTGCTCAAGCCCTGTATCGCACGGCTGTGGGGTGGTGCCCTGCAGTGACCGTTGCTCAGGGGAGAGCGCTGGACCACCAGCCAGTCTCGCGGCGTGTGTGGCGCCTACGGCAGGTTCGATCTGGGGTCTTTGCTGCGCCCTGTGTGGCGGTGCTGGTCACGCAGCCAACCCTGAAACTCGGGCTTTGGAGTTCCACCGCGCAGGCGCCGCTGGCCGTTCTTTTCACTGCCCTGTGGCGTCCTCGCCCTCTGTTGCGCGGCCGTGGGGTTGCGTCACCTCTGCGGTGACCGCTGCTCAGGGGGCCGCCAACCTTTCTCTCAGGTGGAGCGGCGGGCTTGGAGGTTGCCTTGCCCTCTCCGACCAACGCTGGTCCACCAACCAAGCGCCGACGGCAGGTTCGATCTGGGGTCAGCTGTGCCCTGCTCGGCGGTGCTGGTTATGCAGCCAGCCCTGGAAGTCGGGCCTTGGGGTTCCGTCGTTCAGGCGCCGCTGGCCGTCCTTTTCACTGCCCTGTGGTGTCCTCGCCCTCTGTCGCACGGCCGTGGGGTCATGTCTCCCCTTGTGTGACTGTTACTCAGGGGGCCGCCAACCTTGCTATACAGGTTGCGCGGCAGGCACGGGGGGGGGGGGATTTGCCCTCCCCGACCGTGTGCCCTGTTGCGGGCTGGACTGTTTTTCTCTTGCTCTGGCCACGGGGCGGTCGCCCGTCGCGTGGCCAGCGCTTCCTAGCCCATGGGGCTGCTGGAGGTACTCTTTCGGTCAGTGAGGTCTCCCTCGCTTCCAGCAGTGGTTTCCCAGCCACCATTGCGGTGATTTTTTCACTAAGGCTGTGCGGGCGTTGAGCTCAAACAAATCTCTTCCTCTGCCTTCTGCCTCATTTTCACATATGGTTTAAGTACCCTATATCATTATGGCAAGCGTGGTAGTCTTCCTGCGTCTGGCTCCTCATCCTAATTATTTTCCTCCGGCTCATCCGCCACCTCCTCCTCATTCTCTTCCTCCTACTTCTCCACTTCCTTTTCCTCCTCCTTCTCCTCCTTTAATGTACGCAGGTCACCCGGATGATTTCGCATAATACGATGCGGCCATTTTGTGGGTTCCAGGTTCTCTACGACACCCGCCGCCGGGTAATCGCGACGATCATCCGTGTCATGGGAAGGGATGGGTGGGAAGGGTAGGGTGTCAGGTATTGTGCGAGCGCACCGAGGTTGTATCCTCCCCTCCCCCCCTTCCCCCCTCCCCCGCCCGACACAAAACGGATTTGGACCTGGCGTTGATCCGAACCCCGACCCTTTTCGTGTGGAGCCGAGGCTGGTCCGAGCCGTACCGGCTGGTTTGGGCCGCGACGCCGAGGCGCCTCCTCTGCTGTCGGGCGTGGTTCGGCGCCCAGAGCTCTGCGTGATATGCTTCCTGTATTGCACATCGTGGCCGCTGTCATCGTCGCGAAATCGTTGACGGCGAACAGATTATTGCGATGGCGTTACGGCCTGTGCCGCCGACCCTGAATGGCGACGACGACGACGACGACGACGACGACGACGACGACGACGACGACGACGACGACGACGACGACGACGACGACGACGACGACGAGCGCTCTGGGGGGCCTTTTGGGGGTAGTTTGTGGGCCTCTTGGGAAGCTCTTAGGGGCCGCTTGGAAGCCTCGTGGGGGCCTCTTGGGGCTTCCTGGGGGTCTCTTGGAGGGGGCCTGGGACGTCTTAAAGGCTTCTTGGACGGTCTTGGGGCTATCTTGGGCGATTCGGGGCCCTCTTGGGCCGTCTCGGGGGCCATCTTGGGCATTCGGACCTCATTTGGAGTGTTTTCGAGGTTTCTGGGCCGCCCGAGGAAAAACAAATCTGCCCCCCCCCCCTGGGCCCCTTGCCCCCTCCACCCCCCCCCGCCCCCCCCCCCCACCCCCCCTGGGGAAGGGATCAAAGGGAAGGGGCTTCCCTTCGAATCTACAACGGCATGGACAACGATGACGATCCGAACAACGAAAACACAACGATGTCAATCCGAACAACGAAAACGATTCGGACGAGGAAGCCCCTCGCACACGCCGACAGGGTCGGCGGATTATCCGACCGCTCGCACGATTGCCGGTCGGTAGCCCTTCAACGGGTATGCTCCCTCGCTGTCCAGTTTATGCGTCCCAGCGGATTACCGCGGGGTCTTCCAACGGGGCCCTCCCAATCATTCCAGCCGTCCTGTCGCCCATCAGCTGCACTCGTTCTTTCGCGATTGTGTCGTAGAGCGCGTCTCCCCCATGTGGACAGCGATTGCGAAAGCGTCTGTGCAGACAGAGATTTCCTTTGCCACGAGATTTTCAGCTGCCTACTGAGGCAATATTGGGCCATCTTGGCCTTTCTGCGCCGTCTTGGAAACCTTGGCGAGGCTTGGGGAGCCTCAGGAAGACATCGGGCCGCCCAGGAGCTCTCGGGAGGGGTTGGGTGTGCATGCGACCAGGCGTGACGGGAAGGGGGGGTCCCTTGGAAGTCTTGCAGAAACACAACGGGGCAGCATTTGGCTTTCTGCCACGCCTCAAAGTGTCAGGCAGCACGGTGGAGCATTGTGTACGTCTCGGGCCGCAGGCGGAGTAGAGTGCTGGGCCCAGACACCCCCGATCGCCACACCTGCCCGTTATATTCCGCTTCTGCCCAGCTCCAGCGATTGGCTCGGAGCGGCGGCAGTGTTGCAAGCTTCCCGTTCCCTCCTTGCACCGAGGACTTCCAAGGTTGTCCGTGCTGTTCTCCAAGGGGAGGAGCTCCGAGTGTGCACCGAGCCACGCTCGCGCAGTCTTGGTGATGCTGGGCTGCCGGGCCGTACTGCGCGTCCCATCCAGACATAATTTTCGATGATGTTCTCGCGGGCAAGCCGAAGCTTGCTTTTTCTTGTGGTGCATTCTCGAAGTGAGGGGTGTCTCCGTACGAGGAGAAGGAGGAGGAGAGGAGTCATGATGATGATGATGATGATGATGATGATGATGGTGTTGATGCTGATGATGAGGAGGAGGAGCAGCATGAGGAGGAGGATGCTGATAATGATGGTGATGAGGAGGATGAGGATGATGATGAGGAGGAGGATGAATCGGAAGAGGATGATGATTAGGATGTGGATGTGGATGTGGATGATTATGATAATGATGATCATCATACTACTGCTTAGGATGATGCTGCTGATGATGATGTTGTGATGGCGATGTTGATGATGCTGGCGGTGATTATGGTTATGCTGATGAGGAGGGTGATAATGATGCTGATGGTGTTGGTTATTCTGGTGATTATGGTGATGGTGCCAGTGATGGCGCTGCCGCTGCTGCTGACGACGATGATGATGATGATGATGATGATGATGATGATGATGACGATGCTGTCGATGATGATGATGATGATGATGATGATGATGATGATGATGATGATGATGATGATGATGATGATGATGATGATGATGATACTGATGATGACGATGATGATGATGCTGATGATGATGATGCTGCTGCTGATACTGTTGATGATGCTGATGATGATGATAATGATGCTGCTGCTGATGATGATGATAATAATGATGATGATGATGATGATGATGATGATGATGATGATGATGATGATGATGATGATGATGATGATGATGATGATGATGATAGTGCTGGTGGAGCACACAAGATCTCCTGAGGCCCGAACACAAGCCCCTGCAAGTGGAGTTACCCCGCCCGCAGTGACCTGGATGAGAGGTGGATTTTATGCAGCTTTCTGGGTGGTCGGCGGGTTGGGCCGAAGCCCCAGGGGAGTCGTTTAGAAACATCAAGCTGGCGATGATGATGCTGATGATGCTGCTGCTGATGATGATGGTGCTGATGATGCTGCTGCTTTCTGATTCTGATGATGATGCTGATGCTGCTGATGTTGATGCTGATGATGCTGATGATGATGATGCTCATGCTGCTGCTGCTGCTGATGATGATTATGACGCCGATGATGATGATGATGATGATGATGATGATGATGATGATGATGATGATGATGATGATGATGCTGCTGCTGCTGCTGCTGATGATGATGATGATGATGATGATGATGATGATGATGATGATGATGATGATGATGATGCGGTTGACGATGATGATCTCATGATCATGGCGATGATCACGAGAAGGAGGAGGAGGAGGAGGACGAGGAGGAAGAGGAGGAGGAGGACGAGGGTGAGGACAGCTGGAGAGCACGGTTGAAGAAGAAGAGAGCGGAGAGGAAGGTGGGCTGGCGCCAGCACCCGCAAGGGCAGCTCATTTGCAATTCCGACTCTGGCAACGCTCTGTGTCGTGACGGGTGTGGAGGGGAGGGGGAGGAGGGGATGAGGAGGGGAGGTGGGGGCGAGTTTGAGGGGCAGGATGCGGGGGGCAGCGGGAGGGCCAGGGGCGCTGGATTGGGTGGGCGAGTCGGGAGCGGGGCGAGGGCTCGCGGAAGGGTGAGGGGGGCAGGGGGAGAATCGAGGGGGGAGGGCCTCCGGCCCGTGCGCGTGCCCCTGTCGCCAGCTTCCAGGCGGCAGGAGGACTTCGCGGAGTCATAGGGGGACGCACGCGAGGAGGGGGGCGGCTCCGCCCTCGCAGGTCCTCCGTCACGGCCAGCGGCGCAGTGCCCCCCGCGCGCGTCTTCGTCATCGGCGCCGGCGTGGCGGGCCTCAGCGCAATCGCCACAGCGCACTCGCTGGGCGCGAAGGCACACGGGTGGACGCTGTTCGAAGTCCGGGATGTTGATGGTGAGAATGTCGGTGTGATAGCGGTGTTGATGGCTGTCGTGTTAATGGGGATCAGGGTGGTGGTCATTATTGTGATTACACATGGTGACTGCGATGGTGAAGCGAAGGGCGATGGTGGTGGTGATGGCCGATGGCGATGATGATCGTGTTGGTGACGATGATGGTGATGTTGGTGAAAGTGGTGATGATGATGGCGATGGTGGCCGTGGTTGTGATGGACGGGTAATAACAAGATGATGCTGATGCGGGTGCGGATGCGACTGCTGCTGCTGACGACGACGACGGCGATGATGATGAGGATGATGATGATGATGATGATGATGATGATGCTGATGATGATGATGATGATGATAGTGATGATGATGATGATGATGATGGTGGTGATGATGATGATGATGGTGATGGTGATGATGATGATGATGCTGATGCTGATACTGATGATGACGGTGATTGTAATGATGTTGATGATGCTGTTCTTGATGTTGATGCTCACGATGCTGATGCTGCTTGTGTTGATGATGCTACTGCTGCTGCTGCTGATGATGTTGATGATGCTCATGCTAATGATGAGCATGTTGATCATGATGATTATGTTGACGACGGTGATGTTGATGATGGCGATGATGATGACGCCGATGATGATGATGATGATGATGATGATGATGATGATGATGATGCTGATGCTGATGCTGATGCTGATACTGATGATGATGATGGTGATGCTGCTGCTGCTGATGCTGCTGCTGATGATGATGATGCTGCTGATGATGATGCTGCTTCTGATGCTGATGATGATCGTGTTGGCGATGGTACCTGTGACGGCGATAGTCAGATTGATGAAGGCGATGCTGGTCAGTTTGATGATGGTGGTGATTTGGGCCGTGGCTTTTGGAATCGTGTCCAAAGCCCCTCCCTGATGGAGGTGCTGCAGAACAACAAAAATAAGCTATTCGAGGATACGCGGCGCAGCTTGGTGGTTAAGGATGAGGGGCGTCTGGGGATCGAATGTGCAGCCGAGGGGCAGCACGAGGCCGGGCAGCTCTTCCGCCGCGCCGGCCGGAAAAAAATCGTTCCCGAGTACGCTCCTGAGGATGAAGAATACGGGCTGCCTGCCGAGGATCTGCAGCAGCCGGAGGAGGCGCGGGGCTTGTTTGAAGAGGAACTCGGAACGCGGAACTCGTGTGTCCTCGAGAGTCCGCCGTGGGCGGCGCTGCCGGGCGTGTGCAATATCGAAAAGCCTGCAGACCAATGTTGAAGAGGAGGTCGGCGGAGAGCCCGGCTAGAATATGGACGTCGCCGTTGGCGACAAACCGCCGTCTCCTATAGCAGGAACACAGTGGCACCGAGACGCCGATCATCGGGGGTACGGAGACGCCAGTCCTGCAGGAATACATTCTCGATATCGGTTCTGATGCGGCCACTGAAATTGCCACGTTACCTCCGCTTTCGTCTTCTCCAGCTGCAAAGGCGAAGCGGATGATGATGGAGCATTTTGCTGTTCTGCGAATTCGCGACCCGAAATCTTCTGCCGTTTCGAATGGGCCGGCGCCGGAAAAAATCCGGCGCCCACCAGTTTCGTTCTCGACCGCTGCCGGCCCTGCCCAGGTTCGCGACAGAGCCACCCTGGCATTGGCTGAGGGGCCTCCACTTGTACCCCAGCGCCCCAGTGCGAGCGTCAGTCCTTGGAGTGCTGCTGCAAGGGCTGGAGTTCTCCCCACGTGCCCGCCCAAGGGGCTGCGGCTACGCCCTGAGCCGGCCGCCGGCGCGCTGGTTGCAAATGCAAATTCGTCTGCAAATATCGATCTGGAAGAGCAGCCTGCAATTCAGCCTTGCTTGCCCGGTGTGAGATATGTGTGAGCGCTGCGTATGCGATAGTTAATTTTCCAAGGGTCAGTGCTTGCAGTTATTTGATGCTTGTTCTGTTGAATTTACTCCAGTGGCTTGGTCTTGCCGGCTGTTCTCGGAGTTTACGCGCAAGCTTTTTACATGGGCCCAGCTGTTTGCTGTACTGCGTGCGTTTAGCCTTGGCAAGATTTTGTCAAGGGTATTCCTGGGAGGAGCTTTTTGTATGACAATAGCGTGGTTTTGCCGGATATGTTATACATGTTGTTGCGTTGGTCGCGGTGCGGTATTTTTTTCGCCCTGGCCTTGCCGATGTCTGCATGATATCTCCTTTGGTGGTATTGCAAGGCATCTAGAATTAAAAGCGACCTGCAGACAACTCTTCGTTCATAAAGCAGTTTGAAGTAGATCGCTCACGATGATGCTCATTCACGCTTGTGGAATCGGAAACCCGGACAGCTGACCGCCATCCAAAATAGCGACATCGAAATGCTTGCAAACGCATCTGGAAGACGCTTGCGAGGACGTTGGAAAGGGTACTTGTGGAGTCTATAATCTTTGAAAAGCAAGTTTCGAAGGCGCTTCGAGGAAGCTGCGAAGAAGCTTGGAAAAGACTTGAGACACGCGCGTTGGGAACACCTAGCCAAATGGTTCTGGGAACACGCTACACATTGAAACAGGTTGCCCCAAATGTGTTTTCCGGCAGTTTTAGAGAGGAGTTCGCCTAGTCAGCGCGGCAACATCCAGTTTCAAGCCCTGGTTGCTTTCAGAGAGACTTGGTAATGGATATCCCAAGTGTTCTGGAACTATCATTGTTATTGGGTGTATTGAAGGATGGCTGTTTTCCATTATTGTATAACTCACTTAATCAAGGATTCAATATTAATTCAGTTCTTCCTAAGTAGTTCGTTAATTGATAATTGAATAATCAATTTATCAGGAACTACTTTCTAGTAGGTAATTGACTCATTATTCAGTAAGTATTGAGTTATTAAACAATGGCTCCTTTTGCATGTACTAGGCATGCGTATGCAATTCATATGGTAAAACATATATTTATACATTATGTTATTGTCTCTTTTATTGATGTCTGTGAGTTGCTTGTCCTTTGTACTGGACATATGTGTTTTGCTTTTGTTACTGTTCTTCGTATGTTTGTATTTGTTTTGTTTACGTTTCCCTTTTGTTCCTTTTGCAGATCGTTCCGAGTAGAGGTATTCATAATCGGTCTACTTTATGAGAGAAGGGATTGCGCATGCTATCAGCTTTAGTCTACACTCCTACAGGACATGCTAGTGAATATGAATTATTGTGCGCTGCGTTTTGCTGGATTTGCAGAGACATCCTTGTCGCTCGCGTTTTCCTGGACTCGTTGAGGAATTTGATGGTGAGAGGCAGGGCTGCGGTTTTCAGTGGCCACGTGCTCAAGGTATTTTGGCCCATGGCGGGTCGACGAGGTCGTGGCGCGGCCAGCGTTGCCGCGTCGTCCGAGGAGGGCGCTGCGGCTACGGCTGCCGAAAGTGCGGTGGCAGCAACCGCGCGTGCGGAGGCTGCAGCCGAGACGGCCGCAGCAGCGGCAGTTTTCCGCGCGGGCTGCAGCCGAGGCTGCTGGAGCTGCCGCGGCGGCAGCAGCGGCGGCTGGGCGACCAGCGGCGCCGCCGCGAGCAGCAGCGCCAGCAGCGCCAGCAGCGCCTGCGCCGCTGGAGCACACGGAGTTGCAGCGCCGGGACGTGAGGCGAAGCAAAGCAGTAGAGGCAAGTTCATTTGATTTTCCTTCTCTTCTTTTTTTCTCACTTTCAGAAGAACAGAGGATGAGAGGGTCAAGGGTAGTCACGTCTACAGCTTTCTTTCCTAAAAGCAGCCCTGGCGGCCTGGAGCCCCGAAGTAGTTCCAGGCCGTTTGCGTCCTGGCAAACCCTGCCGCCCGCCGCTTGGGCTGCCTCCGCCGGCAGTGCGGCTGGCTCTAGCCCGGGCGACCGCGGTTCCACCAGCTCAGGCAGCGCTGCCGGAGGCTTCGGCGGCCCCGATGGTGTTGGTGGCGCCGCTGGAAAAAGGCTCGCAGCCGGTGCTCCGGCGACCTGCGGCAGGCAACCGCGGTCGCGGCCGCGGAGGGCGCGGACGCAGCCGCGGGGGGCACCCCTCCGCGGCTCGCAGGGCCAACGACAGGGAAGATAGGCACAGCAGGAGATGATCTATCGTGCATAGATCGCCGATAGAGAACCGGAACCCAATCTGCAAAGAAACGTGTGAGTTTCTCGAGCTATCGCTGTAATATTGGCGACGCATCGCCGATTCCATGTCGATATTTCTCCGTTGTCCCTCAGGTTCGCTCCAAGCGGACGGCGGAGTTGGAAGCCATCGGGATCGAAGATCCCTCTGGTTCAAACCCACCGCCGGCCTGTCACTTGTGGGTGCGGCTCGAGCGAGGTCGGCAGGTGCTTCGGCGGCGCCCTGAGCGACGGGCGGGTGGGCCTTCCTCGTTCTGCTCCTGCTTCTCTTGTTGTTCTTTCGCTTTTTAACGAGGTTTCTTGCATTATGGACTTCAGGAAATCCTTTCCATGCCTGGGAACCGTTGCAACACCAACGAGCATGAAAAACAAACGGTTCAGAGAACTTTGTGGAGGTAGAGCGACCGATTGCGCAACGAGAGGCTGGCCGCAACATTGACGGCGCAACGCGCCACAAACCTTCCAGTTCATAGAAAGTTTAAGATTTCCCAAGTCAGTGAATTCAGGTTGCCGAGCATGTTTTTATAATCGGTAGGTTCTCAGAATTTCTGAATTTTGTATGGTCTTGTTTTTGAAGAGACGGTGCCCCGCGTTCCTCTCCTCTCCTCCTCTTCCCCCTCCTCCCTCGTGCCCGCGCCCGCATGTGTCAGCCACACCCATTTCGGCACACCCCTCACACGCTTCGTGGCTCCATAGGGAGCTCCACCGAAGGCCCCAGTGCCCGCGCCCGCATGCGTCAGCCACACCCATTTCGGCACACCCCTCACACGTTTCGGCTGGCTCCATATTTCGAGGGCTCCATAGGGAGCTCCCGAAGGCCCCAGTGCCTGCGCCCGCATGCGTCACCCACACCCATTTCGGCACACCCCTCACACGTTTCGTGGCTCCATAGGGAGCTCCACCGAAGGCCCCAGTGCCCGCCCGCATGCGTCACCACACCCATTTCGGCACACCCCTCACACGTTCGTGGCTCCATAGGGAGCTCCACCGAAGGCCCCAGTGCCCGCGGCCGCATGCGTCACCCACACCCATTTCGGCACACCCCTCACACGTTTCGTGGCTCCATAGGGAGCTCCACCGAAGGCCCCAGTGCCCGCGGCCGCATGCGTCCCCCACACCCATTTCGGCACACCCCTCACACGTTTCGTGGCTCCATAGGGAGCTCCACCGAAGGCCCCAGTGCCCGCGGCCGCATGCGTCCCCCACACCCATTTCGGCACACCCCTCACACGTTTCGTGGCTCCATAGGGAGCTCCACCGAAGGCCCCAGTGCCCGCGCCCGCATGCGTCACCCACACCCATTTCGGCACACCCCTCACACGTTTCGTGGCTCCATAGGGAGCTCCACCGAAGGCCCCAGTGCCCGCGCCCGCATGCGTCAGCCACACCCATTTCGGCACACCCCTCACACGTTTCGTGGCTCCATAGGGAGCTCCACCGAAGGCCCCAGTGCCCGCGCCCGCATGCGTCAGCCACACCCATTTCGGCACACCCCTCACACGTTTCGTGGCTCCATAGGGAGCTCCACCGAAGGCCCCAGTGCCCGCGCCCGCATGCGTCACCCACACCCATTTCGGCACACCCCTCACACGTTTCGTGGCTCCATAGGGAGCTCCACCGAAGGCCCCAGTGCCCGCGCCCGCATGCGTCCCCCACACCCATTTCGGCACACCCCTCACACGTTTCGTGGCTCCATAGGGAGCTCCACCGAAGGCCCCAGTGCCCGCGCCCGCCACCGAAGACCCCAGTGCCCGCGCCCGCATGCGTCAGCCACACCAATTTCGGCACACCCCTCACACGTTTCGTGGCTCCATAGGGAGCTCCACCGAAGGCCCCAGTGCCCGCGCCCGCATGCGCCAGCCACACACCATTTCGGCACACCCCTCAAACGTTTCGTGGTCCCATAGGGAGCTCCACCGAAGGCCCCAGTGCCCGCGCCCGCATGCGTCAGCCACACCCATTTCGTCAACTCCCTCACACGTTTCGTGGCCCCATAGGGAGCTCCACCGAAGGCCCCAGTGCTGCCGCCCGCATGCGTCCCGCACACCCATCCCCTTCACACGTTTCGTGGCCCTATAGGGAGCCCCACCAAAATTGGTAGTGTCAAGTGCGGTATTCACACTTGCACATGGTCGGGTCCTTCGTCAGGCTAATGTTTGCGACCGTGTGGGGATGTTCGAGTTTTTTAGCCTCGGATTTCGAAGATGTTAGGCGCATCATGGTTTAATGATGTTGTATGTTTCCAGGGTTTGTGAATGTTGTAGATTTAGAAAAGGTTGGAATACTAGAGTTTGGGGTTTTTCATGGCAGTCAATGCATTTACCGTTTCTAGCGTGTCCACTCTTTCTAGATGTTATACTGAGACAACTAATCTTAGGACCTGTTGTATCCAAATAAAAGTATTAGCTTATCGACTTAGATTTCTGTAATCCGGTAAAACATTCCGTAAGTTCGAGCATAGCTACTCATGATTGAACTAACGTTGGGTGCATATATATACACGTATTTGTAGGTTTAGGTATCTACACATGTATACATACGCACATCAGGGGGAATCCATATTCATGTTCACAGATGACACGCAATGCGTGCGTGTATGGATTTATACATGCATGCACGTCTATGACGGTATTCATATAGTTATGCATGCGTGTATGCGCGCATGAGTTTCTTTGGTGTCGAAGCCGTTGTAAGTAACATCTGCAAGCTATATGCCTAAGATATATTCAGGCGTGGTGCGTGTTGATGGGTGAGTTTGAAGCATCCCGTGTCAACGGTGGTAGAAGTAGTAGTGGTAGTAGTATCGGTAGTCGTAGTAGTAGTAGTAGTAGTAGTAGTAGTAGTAGTAGTAGTAGTAGTAGTAGTAGTAGTAGTAGTAGTAGTAGTAGTAGTAGTAGTAGTAGTAGTAGTAGTAGTAGTAGTAGTAGTAGTAGTAGTAGTAGTAGTAGTAGTAGTAGTAGTAGTAGTAGTAGTAGTAGTAGTAGTAGTAGTAGTAGTAGTAGTAGTAGTAGTAGTAGTAGTAGTAGTAGTAGTAGTAGTAGTAGTCGTGTCGTAGTCGTAGTCGTAGTCGTAGTCGTAGTCGTAGTCGTAGTCGTAGTCGTAGTCGTAGTCGTATAGTCGTAGTAGTAGTAGTCGTAGTCGTAGTCGTAGTGGTAGTAGTAGTAGTAGTAGTAGTAGTAGTAGTAGTAGTAGTAGTAGTAGTAGTAGTAGTAGTAGTAGTAGTATAGTAGTAGTAGTAGTAGTAGTAGTAGTAGTAGTAGTAGTAGTAGTAGTAGTAGTAGCAGTAGCAGTAGCAGTAGTAGTAGGAGGAGGAGGAGGAGTAGGAGTAGGAGTAGGAGTAGGAGTAGGAGTAGGAGTAGTAGTAGTAGTAGTAGTAGTAGTAGTAGTAGTAGTCGTAGTCGTCGAAGAAGAAGAAGGAGAAGTATCACAACTAGTCGTAGTGACAGTAGTTGCTGTAGCAGCGGACTTCCTGGCCTGGCCGAAATCAACCAATCTTCTCTAGGATGGAGCTCTCGTACCCCGCACCCGTCTGGGGGCGCCCGCCCCGAGGTGTATGCCAACGACGTGCGCTCGGCAGTCAGCGACCAGGTGGAGAGCCTGGGCGCGGAGTTCTTGCCCATCGAGGCGACGTGCGCTCGCGCCCGTTGAGGGAGGAACACGGGGGGGGGCGGGGGGGGGAGGACGATGGTGCTATTGATGATGATGATGATGATGATGATGATGATGATGATGATGATGATGATGAGGATTCGGAAAACGATGATGATGATGATGATGATGATGATGATGATGATGATGATGATGATGATGATGATGATGATGATGATGATGATGATGCTGCTGCTGCTGCTGATGATGATGATGATGATGATGGTGATGATGATGATGATGATGATGATGATGATGCTGATGATGATGCTGATGACGGCGATGATGGCGATGATGACGATGATGAAGGTGACGATGAAGGTGACGATGGTGATGATGAGCGATGAGTATGCTGATGGTGATGCTGATGCTGATGGGGGGGTAGTGGTGGTGGTGATAGCCATGGTGATGGCGATGGCGATGGCGATGGTTTTGATGTTGATGTTGATGATATTGACGACGATGATGATGGTGATGGGTATGATGCTGGTCATGGCTACGATGATAGTGGTGTTGATGATGGTGGTGATGGTGGTAATTGTGAAGATGATGGCGGTGATGACGATGATGATGGTGGTGGTAATGATGATGATGCCAGTGGTGACTAGGAGGGGGACTAAGACGAACATGGGGGTGATGAGGACGATGAGGAGGATTAGGAGGAGGATGACCAGCACAAGGAGGAGGACGATGAGGAGGATGGGGGGATGAGACGAATGACTGGGAGCCGGAGGGAGACACAGACCACGTCGTCGCCGCGAGTGTCGTCGCGATCGGGGTCAGCGTAGCCAGTGTCACTGTAACGTCCCCGAAGTCGCCACAGGAGGTGGACGCGGAACAGGAGGAGCAGGAGGAGGAGGGGGGTATGATGAGGAGGAGGATCAGCGCAAACCCAAAATGTATCTCTCCCGTCACACGCCCCCTCCTCAGGCATCCTTTCAGGTTCGCCGCTTCACTGCAAACAACAGCTACACTTGGAAAACGATCACCTTGTGTCTGCCATTCTGGCAAGAGCCTCGTTTTGAAAATGAGCTTCCTTGCATCCTTCTGGCAACTAGTACGGACTGCCAAAAGTCGTACTGACTCCGACGGAAGGACCCCGCATGAACATCTGTTTGGCTTGCCCTGATCCCTTCCCTCTTCGCCATGGCGAACACCCTCCTCTCGCCCTTTGCTCTGTCTCCTCCTCCTCCTCCTCCTCCTTTCATTTCTCCTCCTCATTCTACTTTTCCTCGCCCTCCTCCTCCTCCTCCTCCTTCTCCACCTCCTCCTGATCATCACCCTCTCCCTACCCCTTCCCCACCCTGATCAATTCTCTTGCTTCTTCTCCATGTGCTCCCCCACTTCCCCTTGGTCGGGGCAAGCACGTCGATTTTCCTCGGCGCCGTCGCCGCCTCGGCCAGCGCGCGCGCGTTCGCCGACGGCTGGTTCGCGGGAAACGTCACAATTCACTAACAAAAGAAGCTGCCGCCTGATACTTCCTCCATATTGAGGCCTCGGGAGCCCAAAGGTAACGACAGTCACAGGGTTGAGGATGACCCGTTCGGATTACCAGTAGGAAGTGCGGGACCCATAGGGAGGGGCTCCCGCCTGAGACTTCTTCACATCACTCACAAAACAGGCTGCCGCCTGATATTTCCTACATGTTCAGGCCTCAGGACCCCCAGCGCGACGACACTTACAGGGTTGAGGATGGCCCGCTCGGATTGCAAACGTGAAATGCGGGACCCATAGGGAGGGGGATCCCGCCTGAGACCTCCTCACAGTTCACTCGCCGACGAAGCTCCAGCTTGATACTTTCTCCATATTCAAGCCTCAGGAGCCCAGCAGTGACGACATTCAAATGTTGAGGAGGACCCGCTCTTATTACCAATATGAAGTGCGGGGCCCCTAGGGAGGGGGGCTCCCGTTTGAGACTTCCTCACAACGCACTCACCGACGAAACTCCCGATTGATATTCCTTCAATATTCAGGCTAGGGAGTGAGTGCTGACGAAGTGATGAGTGAGTCAGTGATGATGACGGTGAGTGGGTGGATGATGATGATAATGGGTGAGTGAGTGAGTGGGTGGGTGATCGAGCGATGACGATGGTGATCATCATGGTGGGTGTGAGTGTGTGAATGAAGGAGTGTAGGTGTGAGTGAGTGTGTGGGTGATGACGATGAAGTGAATGAGTGCGGCGGACAAAGGGGGTGGGTGGTTGGGTGAATGTGTGAATGTGATTGTATGTGTGATGATGATGGTGATGATGATGATGATGATGATGATGATGGTTGTGATGATGCTGCTGATGATGATGATGGATGATCGAGGAGGGAGGGGAAATCCTGCGCGGGGTGTGCGTGTGCAATTAATACAGGAACTCCACTTTCGATGTGGGAAACCATAACTGCAGTTCAGCGATGTCCAGCGATATTCTCGTTTTCTAAAAAGAGCGGTCATCAATGTGTGCAGCCGGTGTGCTTGTTTACGTTCCGGATCATGTGTCAGGAGTCAGTTTCCAACGAGCGGCTGTATTCGTGCAGCTGTTACATTTGCTCAGATGTTTGGTTTGCGACAGAGGAAGTCTGCGCTGTTTGTGACAAAGGAAGTATCCGTCCCCCATCCGCGTAACTGGTGCACGCTTTACGACGATTGTGCGCGGCGCTAAGGCGAGGTCTTCTTGTGAACGATACCCGCCCTCTGTATGTGCGCGGCGCTGAGGCGAGAGCCTCATTTGACAAAGGAGCCGCTCTCCCGTATTGAACCTATTGCGCCACGTTACAATATTATTGTGCGCGGCGCTAAAGCGGGATCTCCTATTTTGAAAAAGGATCCACCCTCCATCGTTGAAACTATTGCGATTGAGAAGGAGCCACCCTCCATCGTTGAATCTACTCAAACTTTCCAGGCGAATTTGAGTGACGCCAAGGCGAGCTCCCCATGTTGAAGACGGACCGCCCTCCATCCTTCAGTCCGTCGCAATCTTTTTAGATGGATGTGCGCAGCGCTAGGGCGATATCCCCATTTTGAAAACGACCTGTCCTCCATCCGTGAAGTTTTTTCCCAACCATCCTGTGGTGTTGAGTCCTCGTTTTGAAGAGACAGCGCCCCGCGTTCCCACCTCCCGCTGCCCCCTGCCCCCTCCCCCCTCCCCCTGCGTTTCACCCACCCAGTACAGCGCTTCGTGGCTCCATAGGGAGCTCCAGCAAAGGCCCCAGTGGCAGGGTCCGCATGCAGTTCACCTCCATTTCGGCGCACCCCTCATACGTTTCGTGGCCCCATAGGGCGCTCCACCCAAGGCCCCAGTGGCAGGGTCCGCATGCAGTTCCACCCCCATTTCGGCGCACCCCTCACACGTTTCGTGGCCCCATAGGGTGCTCCGACCCAAGGCCCCAGTGGCAGGGTCCGCATGCAGTTCCACATCCATTTCGGCGCACTCCTCACACGTTTCGTGGCCCCATAGGGTGCTCCACCCAAGGCCCCAGTGGCAGGGTCCGCATGCAGTTCCACCCCATTTCGGCGCACCCCTCACACGTTTCGTGGCCCCATAGGGTGCTCCGCGAAGGCCCCAGTGGCAGGGTCCGCATGCAGTTCCACCCTCCATTTCGGCGCAGGCCCCAGCGGCAGGGTCCGCATGCAGTTCCCCCCCATTTCGGCGCACTCCTCACACGTTTCGTGGCCCGATAGGGTGCTCCGCCGAAGGCCCCAGTGGCAGGGTCCGCATGCAGTTCCACCCCCATTTCGGCGCACCCCTGACACGTTTCGTGGCCCTATAGGGTGCTCCGCCCAGGGCCCCAGAGGCAGGGCCCTCGTGCAGTTCCACTTCCATTTCGGCACACCCCTCACACGCACCGTGTCTTCATAGGGTGCTCCGCCGAAGGCCCCAGTGGCAGGGTCCGCATGCAGTTCCACCCCCATTTCGGCGCACCCCTCACACGTTTCGTGGCCCCATAGGGTGCTCCGTCGAAGGCCCTCGTGACAGGGTCCGCATGCAGTTCCACCCCCATCTCGGCGCACCCCTCACACGTTTCGTGGCCCCATAGGGTGCTCCGCCGAAGGCCCCAGTGGCAGGGTCCGCATGCAGTTCCACTCCCATGTCGGCGCGCCTTCACACGCTTCGTGGCCCCATGGTGTGATCCGCCGATGACCCCAGTGGCAGGGCCCGCATGCAGTTCCACCCCCATTTCGGCGTACCCCTGACACGTTTCGTGGCCCTATAGGGTGCTCCGCCCAGGGCCCCAATGGCAAGGTCCGCATGCAGTTCCACCTCCATCTCGGCGCACCTCTCACACGTTTCGTGGCCCCGTAGGGTGCTCCGCGGAAGGCCCCAGTGGCAGGGTCAGCATGCAGTTCCATCCCCATTTCGGCGCACCCCTTCCACATTTCGTGGCCCCATAGGGTGCTCCGCCCAAGGCCCCAGCGGCAGGGTCCGCATGCAATTCCCCCCCATTTCGGCGCACCCCTCACACGTTTCGTGGCCCCTTACGGTGCTCCGCCGTAGGCTCCAGTGGCAGGGTCCGCATGCAGGTCCACCTCCATTTCGGCGCACCCCTCACACGTTTCGTTATCCCATAGGGTGCTCCATTCAAGGCCCCCGTGGCGAGTCCGCATGCAGCTCCCCCTCCATGTTGGCGCACCCCTCACACGTTTCGTGGCCCCATGGGGTGCTCCACTTAATTTGGGCCCCAGTGGCTGGTTCCGCATGCAGTTCCCCCTCCATTTCGGCGCACCCCTTCCACGTTTCGCGGCCACCAAAGGCCCTGGTGGCAGCGCCCGCACGTGGTTCCACCCTGCATTTCGGCGCACCCCTCATGCGTTTCGTGGCCTCAGATGGGGCTGCACCGACGGCTCCTGTGGCAGCGTCCGCATGGCGTACCCGTGCCAATTTTGGCACACCCGTCACACGCGTCGTGGTCTCAGAGGGAGGTTCACCGAGGACGATACCCACACCTGCGTTACACACAGCTGCACATGGTTGGGCCCTTCGCCGGGATAGTTTTGGTTTCCCCCCCCCCCTCACGGCCGCGTTCGACGCTGAGGCGAGAGCCCAATCTGTAAAAGCACCTCTTCCATGTTTGAACCTGTTGCACCTTGCAAGCAGCTTCAGGATCATTGGGGATGTGACAGGGAGGAGTTAAGCATATGGCAAAGGGATGGAGGATGAGGAGGTTGAAGAGGGCAGGGGGCAGAGGTAGCATGGCATGCAGAGAGTCTCGCGAGGTCCACGGGCTGTTCTGGGGGATGAGGAGTACGGGGAGGAGGAGGAGGAGGAGGAGGAGGAGGAGGAGGAGGAGGAGGAGGAGGAGGAGGAGGAGGAAAAGGAGGAGGAGGCGCGGGAGTGGGAGGAGGAGGAGGCAGAAGAGGTGGGGGCCAGGAGGGGGAGGAGGATGATGACAAGTTTCAGCAACACCAGTAGCAACTGCGTCGAGCCCTCGACACCTCGACCCCTCTATCCCCTTGTCGTAGGCGGAGGGCATCTCCGGCGAAGGCGTCGGCGGCTACGCCACCGAGATGGGGGCCGCCTTCAAGCAGGCCGCCCCCCGCCCTGGCGCGCCCCGCCAGACCGAGCGTTTTGTAGTTTTTGATTCTTGGGCTTACGCCACACCGCCGACCCCTTGATGTACATTGTCCCCCCTCTTGCAGCCGTCTTTGGAGCCTCTTGAAGGTGTCCTGGTATGTCTGTCAGGGGCCTTCTCGGAGTACTCTTGAAGTCTCTTGGGGGCCGTTCTGGGGTCTCTTGGGGTCTATTGTGGGCCTCTCGGGGGTTGTTGGGGCTTATTTGTGGCTTCTTGGGGGCCTCTTGGATCCTTTTGGGGGCTTCTTGGGGCCGAGGGTTCGAAATTTGCCTTGGGATGGTTTGGCAGGGTCCACTTTTGCGCTCTTCACCCCCTCTTCACCCCCTCTTGGGCTCGTCTTGGGAGCCTTTTGGGCCGTCTGGGGCGGCTCTTGGGCCGTCTTTGGGCCCTCTCTGGCCGTCTTGGGGCCGTCTTGGGGGAATATTGGGCCGTCTTGGGGCGGTTTTGGGAGCTTCTTGGGCCGTCTTGGAGCGTCGGAAAGCCGAAAGGGCGAGAAGGCCCCCTTCCTTCAAAAACCAATGGAAAATCAACGATTTTGGCTTCTTGGGCCGCTCCCAAGAGGCCTCTTGGGGACCTCTTGGGACGTCTTGGAGGCCTCTTGGGCTGTCTTGGGCACACCTTGGGCGTCTCCGAGCGCTCGTTTGGCGTTTCGAGGCGCTCGTGGGCGGTCTTGGAGGCCTCTTGGGGCATTCCTGGGCGGTCTGTAGCCCCTCTTGGGACCGAAAGAGCCCCATGACGCGCTCGTGGTCGACCCCCCCCCCCCCCTCCAAATCGACCGGACCAGGCTCCCGGGGGAGGGGTTTGGGGAGGGGGAAAGCATCTCACACGCCGATGATCCCCAAGGGGTCGGCGGATTCTTCTCGGGCCTCCTGCCTCCTCTCATGCTTGTGCCCCGTCGCTGAGTGCCTCTGAAGACGCACGGACGGCCACGAGGACCTGAGACTGCTCCGGCACGCTCCTTAGCGCTTCACGCTCCGAGGGCGCTCTGGCCGTCCCCGGCCCTCTCCCCCCTTCCTCGCCGAGCGCGTTCCACCAGTCGCAAAGTGCCTACTCGCAAACGTCCGAGCAACGCATGTCCGTTTTCGATGTGATTTATCGTAGATCCCCCGCGGCGGGTCCAGGCCATTTGCGAGTAGTTACTTTGCGAGTAGTGGAACGCGCTCGTCAAATCCCTGCCGCCCTGCCTGCCGCTTTAGTGCCCAATTCGCTCTGCAGCAGCCTGCCGTAGCCACGACCACAACTTGGATCCAGTGTGCCGCCGACAAAATCATCTTGCTCTCATTTCGACGTCGTCGCATCTGCACCGCCCAAGCTTTCGCATCAACTAGCTGTGGCCTCTAAGAGCGAGTGCGAGCAAATAGCATGGTAGACGCGCACTGTAGCAATACAGTATGGCGAGCAAGGACGGCGCGGTCAACCCCGAACAGGGGGGAGATGACGAAGTATAGATCAGTGTGCGTCCTAAACCACAGCAGGGCGGTGGCCAGCCAAAGAGCATCAGCCCCACTTTTGGCGTCTCGACAGCACGGTGGGCATAACGGCGCCAAACCAGGTGCAGAGGCTAGTGCAGGATACCATGAGGTGTACCACTCCCCGTACCCCATACCAAACTGGCATTCCTGCCTTCCTTGGTGTACCATGTGTGCAACTGACGCCAGTGCATGGGCGATTTTTCCCCAATCAGAGCTTGCTTCTGTAGGGGTCCTAGCGGATATAAAGCTGAGGTGAGGTCGGCGGCCGATTTCGGTGGCCGGGGCCGGGTGCCCGGGTGCCCGGGGGTGCCCGGGTGGCCGATTTCGGTGGCCGGGCCCGGGTGCCCGGGTGCCCGGGTGCCCAGGGGTGCCCGGGTGCCCGGGGGTGCCCGGGTGCCCGGGGGTGCCCAATAGCCCAGTAGCCCTATAGCCCTATAGCCCTATAGCCGTATAGCCCTATAGCCCTGTAGCCCAATAGCCTTATTTCCTATAGCCCTAATAGCCTTATATCCCGATAGCCCTGTAGCCCCATAGCCCATTTAGCTCTATAGCCCCATAGCCCTATAGCCCTATGGCCCTATAGGTCACAGTCCTATAGCCCTATAGCCCGATAGCCCTATAGTCCTATAGCCCGATAGCCGTATAGCCCTATAGCCCAATAGCCCTATAGCCCTATAGCCCTAACAAAAATCTGATTGGGCTTTTTCTCCGGTATCATTAGATGTAATCTTGGTGGTGCTTTAGTGAAGTTCTACGAGCTTGGCATTAGCTGCGGTGGTTTGAAATGTCCTGGGGCATGCTAGATATCGGTTCGTTCGGTGCTGTAGCCATGTGCGCGAACGCTGGGAACAGGCTTGGCCTTGGACTGGCAGGAAGTGCCCTGGTAACCCCAACAACACGCTTGAGTTTTGGCGCATCGGCGAGGTGAGAAGGAGGAGGACGAGGAAGCGGCGGGGGGGAGACTTGCGACGCTGCGTGTAGATGTCTTGCGCGCGTCGAGCCAGCTATTACTTCATCTGTGCGTCTACAATTGGTGCTCTGAGCTTGGGAATCCGTTCTTAGGGCCAGAGCCGATTTCCACTTATCCTCGTCCTCTTCACCCTGCTCCTCCCCGTCCTTCTCCCAGCCGTCCGCCTCTCTCGACACCTCCGTTCCTCCCTCCTCGCACCTCCTTCCTATCACCTCCCTCACGCGGCCTGTTCGAAAATGTTGGTACTCATTTATGAGAATCCTGCGCCAAGCGGCGCATCCTTACATCTGTCATGATATTCTAAGCCGCTCGAGGCGAACAGTTCTTATGCCCCAGCGCCTTACTTTGCTCTGGGGCATAAGAACTGACATGGCTGCAGATGTTCCCTCGCTCCCCACCTCCCTTTCCGCCGCAGCTGGACTTGACGCAGCAGCGCCTTGGGTCCCGAGGCCCGCTGTGTCCGCCGTCCTGTATTTCACTTCGCTCCTGAGCACGAGTAGCCAGACCAACCAGACCAGACCAGACCAACCAGACCATAGGACAGAACGGGACCAGACCAACCAGACCATACCTGAGCTAAGGCTGCAAGACGAAGCTCGAGCTAGATCAACCAGACCAGCCAGACCAGATGCAAGAAACAACTGCAATGCAACAAAAAACTGCAAAGCAAAACACATGCAACGCACAACACATGTATTTGATCTCTTCGTTTTGCTACTATTATTCGTCCCGCGTCCTCCTCCCCCTCCTCCTCCTCATCTTCCCCGCGCGGAACGCGACCTAGAGGAAACGCGCGACGTGCGCCCCAGCGGCTACGCGCCGGAGGACGACCCAGAGGAAACGCGCGCCAGAGGACGATCCCAAAAAAACACGCGGGGTGCGGGCCCCATGGGGAAAGGGCTCCCGCCTGAGACTTTCTCGCAATTCACTCACAGAGGAGGCTCCCGCTTCATACTTCCTTCATACTCAGGTTTCAGGAGCCCAAAAGTGACGGCAGTTACAGGAGGCCGATGACCCTTTCGGATTACTCACGTGAGCTGCGGGCCCTATGGGGACGAGCTCCCGCTTCTGATTTTCTCGCAATTCATTCATAGACGGGGCTCCCGCCGGATATTTCACGAACCCAAGAATGACGACAGCTACAGGGGACCGATGACCTGCTTCGGATTACTCACACGATCTGCGGGCCCCATAGGTGGGAGCTCCCGCCTGAGATTTTTTCGGGATTCACTCACAGACGAGGTCCCCGCTTGATTTTCTCCGCATATTCATGCCCCAGGAGCCAGACAGTGACGACAGCTGCAGGCGGCCGACGACCCGCTCGGATTACTCAAATGAGCTGCGGGCCCCAATGGGAGGGGGTTCCCAAGTGTGACTTCTTCGCAAGTCACTCACAGAATATGTTCCCGCCTCATAATTCCTCCGCATTCATGCCTAATGGGCCCGAATGTGACGACAGTGGCAAAGGCCGATAACCCGCTCGGATTACCCACGTGAGCTGCGGGCCCCACAAGGGGGGTTCCCGCCCCTGACTTCCTTGCAATTCGCTCACAGACGAGGCCCCCGCCTGATATTTCCTCCGCATTCTGGCCTCAGGGGCCCAAAAGTGACGACAGTTGCACGATGCCGATGACCCGTTCGGATTACTCACATGAGCTGCGGACCCCATAGGCAAGGGGCTCCCGCTTCTGACTTCCTCGCAATTCAATCACAAACGAGGTTCCCGTCTTATACCTCCTCCATGTTCAGGCCACAGGGGCCCAAAAGTGACGACAGTTGCGGACAGCCGATGACCCGCTCGGATTATTCACATGATCTGCGGGCCCCATAGAAATTACCCTGTGACGTACCCAACCCATCTGTATCATGGGAAACAAGGAGTTGGCCGAAACTTGCATGGACAATCGTTGTTTGATATGTAAGCTACTTGGGACACGCGCTTCTGGCATGATGCGCAGGAGAACCATACAACAACGAGGGGCGACAACTACAGGCTCGAAGAGGACATGGGGATTCGGGAACGAAGAGCAGGAGACAAACGTGCGGAAAGCCCACAGTGCTGGGAAGCCCACAGTGCTGGCCCCCCCCAGCAGGCTTCGAAAGTGGCGACAGTTTCACAGATCGCAGCCCCCCAGGGATGGCGAGGTCTAGTTTGAATCCGCGGTGACTACCCACTGTGCTGGGCCCGCCAGCAGGCATCGAAAGTGGCGACGGTTTCACAGATCGCAGCCCCCCAGGGATGGCAAGGTCTAATCTGAGTCTGCGGTGGGTACCTTCTGTGCTGAGCCCCCCAGCAGGCCTCGAAAGTGGCGACAGTTTCACAGATCGCAGCCCCCCAGGAATGGCGAGGTCAAATTTGAATCCGCGGTGGGTACAGATCGCAGCCCCCCAGGGATGGCGAAGTCCCATTTGAATCCGCCGTGGGTACCCACTGTGGTGGGCCCCCGGGTACCCACTGTGGTGGGCCCCCCAGCAAGCCTCGAAAGTGGCGGCAGTTTCACAGATCGCAGCCCC